CAATGGTGGCTTCTGGCACTAACTGCTTTCTCAAATATGCGCACCACAGCAGCCCTTTCTCTCTGCCACACCTGGGGGTCCAGGGCTACCCGTCAGCCTCCGTGGCTGAGACCACCCTGTTCACCTTGGAGCGGAGAGACTCGGGGGACTCCAGCATGTGCAGCAGCTCGGAGTTGTCGATCTCTAGGAGCATTCCCGTAATCTTTCCAGCCAGGTTTGAATGCATTGTTTGGATGAGTGGGAACAAACGTTCTCCTGTGGGGAGATACTCAAGTAAAAACTCTGTTAAATCCCGGAAAAGAATGGACACTGTTGTCCAGTACCAGGCTTTGGCCCACTCCTCTGCAAACACGTACCCAGCATCTGTTTCTGTTCCTGGGGGGGTGCTGCAGCCAGCATGGAGGCAGTCAGGGGCTCCTGCCCCTGCACATGGACCGCAGGCTGGGGTGCCTGGGAACCAGGAAAGGCAGCAGGTTAGCATCAAGGAAAGGACACTTGATGGTGATCAAGAACCTGACCCTTCAACATCTATGTGAAAGAGGAGGTGGAGGTAGTTGCCCTTACTATCAAAAAACTAACTGCGGTCTTGAGGGGTGGCAAGTGTGAGGCGAGGAACCATGGTGTGGGCATAGACACACAGCCAACTACAATGAGAACAGCACGCTATTAGAAGTGAAATAAGAAAATAACCTACAATGCTTGGCAAACATCTATCAAATGATTTTGATTTAGTCAAGGCTATTTACCCAAGGTTGCCCAAGAGTTTGAAACCTTGTTAATAAATAAAATACAGTGAACGTGTATATATAGCTTTTGCCTGAAAATTAGTTTTTTCCCTTTTGAGTGAATTCCTAGTAGGGAGCTGGTCAGAGTCTGAACAGCAAATAATTTATAATTAAATCCCACATCACTGTATCAAATGTTTTCATTGTATCTAACACTTGAGGACTATTAACATGCAAGGTTCAATGCCAGGTACAGCCCTAAAAGTAGGGCCTTGTAGGCAAAAAATACTTCGTACAGCATCAAGTTCCAGGGAATATTCAAGTCAGAGAGCACGGATCAGGAGGAAACAGCTCATGGATCACAAGGCTGAGTATGGCTCCTCCAAGCAAAGCGCTACTGAACTTTTCAACAAACAAGGTGCACCGTGGCTTGCCTGGGTGGCACAGCTTGAGACAGCAAGTATCAGCTTAAAAACCTGAGATCTGGGTCCAATTAACCCAGCTCTTCAGAACTTCAGAAGTTCAACACCTCTGAAGCTGAACTTCTCTGTGACATGAAGTCCTTTCCTGCCTCAACGTACTAATCATCTTACAGAGCAGTGAAAGGTGACTAGGCCAGTGGAGGTGAAAGAGAAATGAAATTGCTCAAAGAGTTGAATGAGAACATAAGATGTTGTAAAAAGGAGAGTGGGAAGCACCAGCTGTCTCCTCTGGGGCATTTCTGAGTGAACTGTTATCAGGAGTAACACTTTTAAGCCCATTACTGCCCACTAGAGAGCCCCTCAAGGGCAGTGTCACCACACAGGATACAGCATCCTGACACAGAGCAGGCATTTAATACCTGTTTAGGGAATCAAAGCAAGGCATCTTTTTTTTTGGGGGGGGGGTACATGCCCCTAGTGGGAACCAAAGCTGGGACTCTAGTCCACAGGCCGATGCTCCAACCGCTGAGCCAAACCGGCCAGAGCAAAGCAAGGCATCTTTTAAATCACAAGGAAATGGGGGAAGTCCTTTAGCGCTGTGACAGGACCTCACCTGCAGAGGCGGTATGGCGGGGTGGGGACTACGGACACTGGAGGTGTACTTGTAAGGTGCAACAGCCCGAGGAGCAGCAGTAGCCACAGTAGCGCGAGGGGCTAAGTTCTGCACAGCTGTGGGAACACCTTAGGAAAAGAACAAGTAAAATTAAAGCCCATCAGTCTGGGCAAAGACCCGTCAAATCCCATCTTTCCCCATTCTGTGTGCATCCAATACCACCTCCAGACTGGCAGCTGTCAGTCAGCCCTTGCTGGGCGGCACCAGCCCCACCAAAGTCCATAGCCAAGCGGTCCGGGCACTCAGACCCTACAACAGACCAGCAAATGCACATCAGTGTTGGCAGCAGAGGTCCAACTGGCCACGCCCCACGGAAGGAGAAATTCCAAAGTATGTTCACACAACACATCACATATGGGGTCTCTACTGCTACTATTAAGGAACAGCCAACAGATAATATACAACTCTTTCCACCTCTAGGAATACAGGACATTCTCTGTAAAAAAAAAAAAAATTCCTTATCTCTTCCAACTCCACCCGAGAGAACGGGTTGCCTCTAGTCATCCAGATAACAAACTTCTACAACTAACCTTTTTCACGAGTCACCAATGAGCAAAGACTCTTAAAAGTAATCAACACTCCTAGAACGAATTGTTTCTCTGCCCTTTAGTACCTACCTACGCACACAGCTAAGACTGCAGAACCAGGATGCGAAGATGAGCCCAACACACTGACCGACCCTGGGCAGAGCCTAGTCATCTTGACTCCCTCCTCCCCAGGCCACACTTCTCAAGGCCAGTTTGCTCACCGACTCTCTGAGCAGTAGTAGGGAGGCCACGAGAGGCCGGAGCATTACCAGTTGGCGCCAGATGGCGGAGAGTTGGACGAGGCCCAGACTGGCGTATAGCACTTGGCATTCCTTGGAAGCCTGGTAGAAGACAAAAATTGTACATCAGCGATGAACAATGTGAACCAGAACCTAGGCTGCACCTCAAGGGAGGCAAGGAGGAGAGGCAGGGGACACCAGGGTAGGTATATCCTGAATGATCAAATCCCTGTTCCCCACCACCTACCTTGAGGTCTCCCACCTTGCTGCCAGCGTGGATTAGGTCTCATCTGTGCTAACTGGTTAGGTGTGTAATATGGAGGTCTTCCCTGAGCCTGGAAGAAAGAGCACCCAAGCCCTTTTATTTTAAGGATCTCAGTCCACACTAGAGAAGTATCTTATCTCATCTCACTACCAGGCCTTGACTAATTCAGGTAGAGGCTCTCTCTACTCAAAAGCTTGGGGGAAGGGAAGGTCAGTTAACGGGGATTCTTTTACTTTACCCTGATCAGTGTATGTATGACCATGGATAAGTCCTTCCTCATTTTATTTGAAGGACCCTTAGGCTGACGTTCTAGAACTCTGATGTCCCTGACCACTGCAGGAGCCGCTGTCAGGCAGGCTCGGAAGCCATGAACATAGAGCAGAGACCCACCTGTGGAACTGCTGGCACAAAGTAGCCACCAGCTGCAGGTTGGAACTGATTTAAGATGGCATTGGCAGGGAGTGCTCTCATTCCGGCCACCCGCTGCATATACTGGTTGGTCAGGTGAGCCTTTCGCTCTTCCTTCCTCTGGGCCAGGGCGACATACAGTGGCTTGGAGCCCACGATGCGTCCATTCATTTCAGTGACTGCTTTGGTTGCCTCTTCAGGAGATGAGAAGCAGACAAAGCCAAACCCTTTGCTTCTCCCATCCTCCAGCATTACCTACCAAAGGAGATCAGCTTAAGAAAAAGGCGTTCTGTGTGCAAGCAGCTATTAAGAGCCAGAAAACCTGGGTTCTGCTGAGAGTTATCATGTCTAGGAGAGGTGCTCTGCCCCGTCCCAGGATGCACCCCAGACCAACTGAATCACAACTTCTAAGGGTAGGATCCTAGGCACTTTCTTTGTTATATTCTAAAGTTCCTAAACACCATGATATGGCTAATGGTTAAACCAGGAACTGAAAGATGTTTCCTGATACCTAGCAGCATAGCTACCTCCGGGTACCCACAAGACATCTGGACGGTAGTGTCAAGCAATTTAATTATAGAGTTCATCTGCCCAAGACTTGGGTGAACAAAAAATACGCTCTTAGTACAGTTAGGATGGTTCTGAAATACTACATGTGGGAAGGAGTTAAAACCAATGACTGCCACCATTACTTCAATGGAAGTAACAGCAGAAAAATGACCAGCTGGGACAGTTGGATTCTGGTCCCAGCTCTGCAATTTCTAAGCTGTACAACATTAACAGAACCCTTACTTGCCCTCTCTGAGCCTCAATGTCCATGAGGCAAATAACTACAAAGTCACACGTCTACTGGTGCAGGTAGTCTTTTTTCAACATTAGTCGTTCATATAGACAATCTTTTCCTCACCTACAAAGATTCTTTATTACTTTCCCTGGCCAACATGTTCAGAAGCACTGTGGCAATGTGAGCGTGCTTGGCACCATTCTGTCTTAGCTCACTGCCCGGAGAGCCTCCTGAAGGGAGAACATGGGAGTAAAGATGTGCATCAGCCCAACAACTCTCTACCAATGAAGTGGGCCACAGGTAAGATTAAGACACCTTCATCATGAAAATGGTGCCTATGAAACTCGAAGATGTGGTTCTTTTGCCCTCTTCTTGCAAATGCCAAATGGACTACTGTTCTGATAAGACTAGCATTCCCTGCACTGATGGAGGCCAGTCAAGGGGATGATGAGAGGGAAGGGGCGAGAAACTGGAGAAACTCCATAGGGTGGCCTCTAGTCAACTCCCTGCTATAACTGATGATGACACTCCAGGTGGTGAGTAACTGAAGCTAAGAGCCAGGGCAGGGTCACCTGGAGTCTTTACTGGCCCAGCTGGCATCCTTTCTCATCACCGAGAGGACTTTGTGACACCTGCTGCACTTCTGCTGAGGTGGACTAGTGTCTGCAATAGGCTATGACCCAAAACTTTCAGATCCTGTCACACTCCCAAAGTACCAAGGACAGACAGTATACCATCTTCATGTAACCAGCACTCTCTTGCTCAAGGACTCAAGTTCCTTGACTTTAAAATGGGGTTCATAATTACTCACCCTGCTAATTCAGTTAATTTGATTATCAAAGAAAATCACAAATGACACATATGGCAAAACATGAAAAAATCAACTTCCTGCTTCCTGAGATGGAAGTTCCCATCCCAGCCCCCAAATCCTCACAATATTATCTTCATTCAGGGAAAAAGTGTCGCAGAGTTGTAGAGACAAGCCCCAAGACAAATGGAAAACCCGTCTGGATTTCCTCTGCTCTTTCTGTGGCACCATCTGTCCCCACGCCAGCACAAAGCAGCAGAGAATGGGAAAGATTCAGGTGCTCTGGGGGGTTGGCAGTAAGGGACTCAGTCAGATTCATCTCCATATCCCAAGACTTGGGAGACAGCGCAGTAACAACCTAATAAATTGTCATTCTCCAGAGCATACACTCAAACAGCTAATTGAATGCCAGAAGGAGTTTGCCAGATTAATGTGGTAGCTATTCTCAGAAATGAACACAATTTAGATCCTATTCCGTCAGTGAAACAAATGCCAATAAACTGCTAAAAGATTACAACTTCTGCTTTCAATCCCAGAATCTCAGTATAAAATACCTTAGCACTGGTGATGGATCCGAAAGGAGAAAACTCTTTCCTTAACTTCTCATCATCAATGGTGTCATCCAAGTTCTTAATGTAGAGATTCACCCCCTACAGTAGAAGGATCACTGTTAATTGCTCTTTTATTTTATTTTTAAAAAATATGTTATTGATTTTATGCCCTGGCCAGTTTTGCTCAGTGGTTAGAGCGTCAGCCTGTGGTCTAGAGAGACCCGGGTTCGGTTCCCGCTAAGGGCACGTACCTCAGTTGCAGTTTGTCCCCAGCCCTGGTTGGTCGTGCGGGTGGCAGCCACTCGATGCGTCCCTTTCATGTTGATGTTTCTCTCTCTCTCTCTCTCTCTCCCTCCCTCCCTCCCTCCCTCCCACTCCATCTGAACAAAAAAATGGAAAAATGTCCTGGGTGAGGATAAAAAAAATATATATATATATATATATATTATATATATGTATGTTATTGATTTTAGAGAAGGGGAAGAGTGAGGGAGAGATAGAAACAGCAATCAGCTGCCTCCTGGAGATGAAACCAGAGACCTCTGGGTGCATGGAACTACTCGACCAACGGAGCCACACAGGCCAGGGCAGCAACCCATGTTTTTTTTTTATCCTCACCTGGGGACATTTTCCCATTTTTTTATTCAGATAGAACGGGAGGGAGAGAAAGGAAGAGAGAGAGAAACATCGATGTGAAAGGGACACATCGAGTGGCTGCCACCCGCACAACCAACCAGGGCCGGAGACAAACTGCAACCGAGGCACGTGCCCTTAGGGGGAACCGAACCCAGGTCTCTCTGGACCGCAGGCCGACGCTCTAACCGCTCAGCCAAACTGGCCAGGGCGCAACCCATGTTCTAATAAGCCCTGCAGGGGATTCTGATGCAGGCTCGAAGTCGAGAAACCACTGCCCTAAGATTCCAATGACAGGAGCATTAACGCAGTCGGCTGCCATTATCGTCCACCCTTATAGCTGCTCCGGCTGACCACTCACCCAGCAGGGCTCTTCTTGCCCCCATTCCTAAGGGAACCTACATGACTACAACAGACTGAGGCTTCTGGAACAAAGTCCCTAAATGACCTGCTACATCTAGGTGCCTTGTCCACACACACAGTAAATTCCCTGCTGGCAGGCTGTGCAAGACCACCTCTCACCTGGTATCGACTGATTCGCTCTTGTTTTAGCTGTTCAAATTTCCGTTTTAACTCAGCCTGCCGTTCCACTTTCTTCTGTGCACGGCCCACAAAAATGACTTTTCCACTGATTTCTTTTCCATTCATCTCTTCCACGGCCTAAAGAAGAAATAAACATGCATGTTTAAAACAAATGCAGAGGCAGGGGCCTTGCTCTGGAGGTTTGTAAGTCCCACCAAACATACCGAGAAAGAAAACTTCCCTACAGGGCTAAAAACTAACTCCACTCCATCTCTGAAGTCAGCTAAGCAAATCCAAACTTCCTCATCAGTAAAATGGGGTTAATATTTAGATGGCTTATTGGCCCAGATAATACAGGAAAGAAATAGTACAGTTGTATAAATACACGCATAGCAGATATGAGCCTAGCTTGATCATCTGGCTGTCACTAGATTTCTCAGGTTCTTTTGTGGGTATTAAGTGACACATGTCCAGGGCCTAACACAATGCTTCACCCACAAGTAGCTGTTGTCCTGTTATCAAATCAACAACTCTCTGGCCCTTAGTTCCCTCACCTATGAATGGGAACAAACACCTGTCCTATTTTCAACCTACAAGGCTGAACAGCTAAGGTGACAGGTATGTGCCAAGTGCTTCGAAAACAGTTAACTGATACGTTAAGGTGTAAAACCCCTTAAGAAGGCCACTCCAGAGTACAGTAACTGTGCATCACTACTGAACACCAGATAATTCCAGCTCCATTCTACATATTATCAAGGCCCTGCCCACACTCTGGGGCCACTTCCTACAAAATTTTCCCGACCCTCGTGGTACTCTCACCTTATTGGCATCCTCGTGTTTTTCGTAACTCACAAAGCCAAAGCCTTTGGATTTCCCACTGGGATCTCTCATCACCTTGACACTTAGGGTCTTACCTATTACCAAAGGACAGAACTATTAGTAACACCATCTCTACCACAGCTCAAGGAGAGAGGCTTCTCTAGGAGCCCATCTGAAGCAACCTCTTGCTGAATGCAGATGGACTAGAAGAAAGAGGCACCATGCCTGGCCTTCTAATTCTGACCAAGCTGCTGAGATGGCCTTGGAGCTCAAATGAGGTAGAGGTAAAGCCAAGAGCCAAAGCCTGGAATCTGTTCTTATCTACCCTGTGACCTTTGTCACGCAAGGTATTTTAGTTCTGGGTCTAGGTGCCCTGTTCTCTTAAACAAAAAGAGATGAAGTCCAGGTCTGATGGACTGTGAGAGAGGACACATAGAGTAAAGGACCCAACTTACCAAACTGGCTGAACAGCTCTTTCAGACTCTCATCATCGACCTCTTCCCCAAAGTTTTTGATATACACATTGGTGAACTCCTTGGCTTTGGCTCCAAGCTCAGCTTCTCGCTCTTTTCGAGACTTGAATCTGCCCACAAACCTGAAAAGAAACCACAAGAAACTGATCATCCCGAGGAACAAAATTTGATTTCCAGGGGTCCAAAGTTAAAGGCTGACAGGAGAGGTTAAAACACAAGTCCCAGTCCAACCACCAAGAGAGTAAGCTCAGAGATGCCCAACTCCCCACAGAAAGAGAAAAGAGGCAGGACTGTCCTGCAGGGACCAGCCCCAGGGCTCCTGGCTCAGACCAGGCTACTCCTACCACATCACACTGCCTTCGTGAAGAAACCTGATGACCATGTTTTTTTAAACGTTCATTTCTGTGCATCTATGTAAATGCATAGAAAAGGTCTGGAAGGATACAAACCAAACTGTTAACAGTGGTTAATGTGAGAAGTGAAATTGCTGGAGTGAACTACCTTTAATTTTTCACTTTATTCATTTTAGTGTTGTTTACACTTAACAGGAATGTATCCGCACACTGAGTATCTTTAGATGTCTTTCTAGTGATACCTTTAGGAGATTTGACAACTGGGCACATACACATTATCAGTGCAACTTATCCCTGGTCTGTTCAACAACACAAAGGATAGAAATTATTTTAGCTTACTATTGCCAAGACTGACTGTTCCTTCTCCTCTCCCTGCATGGCTTAGCTAAGATCCCCATCTCTCCATTCTGCAATAACCACACCAAAGCAACATGGTCTATTATGAATATCTTCTGCAATGGGATGAGATTTTTCCATTGTAACCAAATTTAACTATTACTATGGAGCCAGCCTTGGGTTAGAAGGCTACCGAGTCATAAGTTAGCCAAGTGGAGATCTGGGGACAATTTGGCATCAGCCCTAGCAAGTGACCCCATGGACAGACCAAGGTCTCATGGCTAATATACAGCTCCTGGTCAGTCCAGGGCCCTCTCCACTCTGCCGCTGGCCAAGACCCCTGCTCAGAGTGGGCTTAGAGCTGTCTTCCAGCCAGCCCCAGTTGCCGATGCTCACAAAACCCACAGACGTATGCATTTAAGGGAGAGGCGGCAGGCAGGCCATGGCTTGGGCAGGAAGCCCACCTTGGCGAGTCAAAAGGGCTGCCATGGCTCAGCAGGGAGACTCACCAGCCCTGGAGTGGAGAGGTAGGAGCAGGCCACACTTAGGCCGAGAGAACCAGTAGCCGCCTTGTGTGTGCCAGTTAATACCGAGGTGGGGCCACGGCTGGCTCATGCGATGGCTGTTGCTCCGGACTGGGACACTCACACTTTGCGGTCATTGAGGAGCATGCCGTTCATCTTCTCAATGGCCTTGTCTGCAGCCTCTTGGGTCTCGAAGTGAACAAAGGCATAACCCTTAGAGCCGTTCTCATCACACACCACCTGTCAAAGACAAGGCAGGCCACTTTAGTGCCACCGCGCAGCTCCAGAGATTAGAGGGTCTCTTCCTCAGGGTTTCCCGTGTCTGAGGCCTCTAGCCCATCCATGAGCAAACAGCAAGAGACTACAGCAGTTAAGGTTTTTCTTAACAGGCACCCAATGATGTTCCATTTACAAATGGTAGCCACTATTAGGCTGCTTCTATTCCAAATGTTTTCTTCATTAAAAACACTGAGAGATCTTGGTGCAAAACCAGTGCTGCAGAAAGACAAATCATTTCCCAAGCCTGCAACAGAATTTCAGTCTAGTGTGGAGTCAAACATGTAAACAACCACCACACAAGTTGTACACAAATCTCCACATAAACAGGTGCATAAAAAAGGAAGAAAGTGAACTTATGCTTCTAAGATGACTACAGCTTCCTGGAAACCAGAGGCACTGTTCTGAGTCCCCCACCCGAGAAACCTCTTCATGCTTTCCAAAGTTAGAAGACAAGAAAGATGTTTCAGGCAGAGGAAAGAACAAAGACACAAAAGCACCTGCTAGTTATGCTAGGCTGTGGTACGAGATTATCTGCAGGGAACTTTTAAGCCTAGGAGCCATTTCCAGAATTTTGGAAATTACCATACCCTGTCACCCAATTCCTTTTTTTTTTTTTTTTTTTGGTACGTGCCCCTAGCAGGAACCAAACCCAGGACTCTCTGGTGTGCAGGCCGACACTCCAACTGCTGAGCCAAACCGGCCAGGGTCTTGTCACCCAATTCCAAGGCAGTTTCCCGTTTAGTATTTATCTTGTTTTCAGGATGCAATAATTATTCTGCTGAAATCATTTA